CCCTTTTCTTTAATATACGTTGTACGGAGTACTATTTACTCAAGCTAAACAGCCAACTCTCACCTTTTATAAATGAACTTTAACTTGATAGTTTTTTAGGAAGGGGTTTTAAAATGGTTGAGTGGTGTCTGAAGATTACCATCGTCAGACTGACTGAGTCACCGTGATTTACAATCTTTCATATGTCCTGTCAAATCGAGACGTGAGGGGGCCTTGAGGTTGGGGATTCGGCCTTTTGGAGGAATGATGATTGGGAGAAGGCTCAAAAAGGACACTGAGGTTATTCAAGAAGTTCATATTAGACATTAAGCTTTTAAGGGCATCTCCATTGGTAGGATTATTAAGAGATTAAGTAAGTGACGTGGCAGATTTTTTAAAGGAGCATCATTGAGAGACATAAATTATTTAATGAGATTATTTGCTATAATAATCCGGGATCAAAATATGAATCCAGATTATTTTAAGATTATGTAAAAAGTATATGTAATAGAAGTTAATGCAGGAACGAAAAAATCTGATTATTTGAAGATGATGGTTGGGAGACATAAACAAATATTGAGATTATTTAAACATTAATTATATAACAAAATTTAAAAGGTAAGAATCATAGAAAAATTGATTATTAGAGATCATGAATGGAGATGCTCTAAGTAGACCAAATTAACACATAATTAACTTATTTGGATTATATTTGGCCATCCACTTACACTTCCGTTAAATCCAGCGTTAAAAGCCCATGCCTCCACCTTCAATTTCCTCATCGGCTGGGCAACTCCATCCCCAATCTCAGTCTCTTACCCTTTGTTCTATATTTCACTTCTCCACCACCAAGGAACCCCTCTCTTCTATTCATTTGACCTGTTTCCAATCCATTGCTGCCCTTCATCTTCTTCAAGTTGCATCTCAACTCTGTTCCTGTTGAGTCCTACAAGTGGTCCACTCACCCTGATCCACCCACACTGCTCCTAAAAATCTTTTCTTGCAGATCCCAGTAGTGAAACTGCATCGATATCTAGTAATTGAAAGAAGCGATGATTTGCTATCCAAATTAATTATTAGGGCTTTACTCCACTGAGGGATGTCATAACTCCTTTTCTTTTGTTATAAAAAACCAAATTTGCGGTACTTTTACGAATTGTCATATAGCCTAAGCTAGGGTACCATATTTCATGTTTGTTCTTTTTCTAAGCCAAATTCAGTCCAACAATATCGTGGTTTTCCTCCAAACTAATGAAAAACCATGGCTAGATGCTTAGACCATTAGTTTGAATTAATTAAAATTAGAAGGAATGGGACATCGGAGTCCTCCCACATCGTTTGCATTGCTATATTCAATTGCTAAAAGGCGCTAGGCGCTAGTCAGGCGCCAGCCGAGTGCCTAGGCGCCTAGGCGGGCGCCTAGGCGGGGACTAGTCGGAGACAAAACAATTCTATTTTTATCAATATTTTTGCATAAATATGATTAATAATGTTGTGTTTGCGTGTATAGAAAAAACATATACACACACATACACATCAACATGCATGAATAATAGAGTTGTCACATTTAATAATATATTATACCAACTCACTTACTCACTAGTAGATTTCTTCATATGTATTGTTAAAGTTAAAGTGCATATAGCTCCTAGGACACTAAAATAAAAATAAAAAAGCTAAAAAATGTTCGATGAATTTAGACATCTAGGCAGCCGATAAAGCACTTTGGGCGGGCAAATAGACTCCCTACGCGGCCGACTAATTCACCTAGGCGCCAAATCAATTAGTCGGAGCGCCTAGATTAAAATCGGGGCGCCCGGCCACCGTCTAGCGCCTAGAGCGTTTTTTAGAATAGTGCTTATAGGTGGCCAGCGTAAAAACAAGGTTTTGGCCTGGGGAGAAGGATGTATATTTGCTGGGTTTGGGTTTTCAAAAGAGCTGGCGGCTATGGCGGTGGGAAGAAAGTTGTATTGCGCCAGAGAAGAGATTGTAGTTGGTAACATGATAATTGACGGAGGGGGAGCCGTTATTCAAGGTTGACGAAACCCGTGTCCAATTGTGATGGAAAAACACAAAGTTTGTGTTAATTTGGTCCATTTAAAAGTTTAGTGACCAATATGAGTTTAGTAAATAACCTTGATGTCAATTTTGGACCTTCTCCCATGATGATTCAACAATCCATCAACTTTGGTTGTATATTGTATCATAATATACATTTTAGTATAATAGTATTTGTTTCATGTTAAGATCAACACTTTTGAATTGGGATGAAATTCGAACATGTGACTTATTCCTTGGATGTCATCACCCCACAATATGCTTGACACTCCCAACGAGTTAAACTCGCAAATTAACCCTGTTAGTAAATTATGCTTAATATTTTGTTCACATAATGACACTTCGAGGGTTAGATAAGACTTTAATTAGAACGAAATGAAGGGAAAATAAACGCGAAAAAGATTGATCTCTTTTTATCTTTTTACTTCCGATTGCGTATGTTGATTCATGGTCCATTCCAAACTCTTTTGTATTAGTAATAAACCAACTTTTCTCAATTATTGTTGTATTACTTGTGATCCGTCATTTCAGCTCCTCTCTTGGTGAGAAACCTCACGTCAAAATGGATGCTATAAATGCTTGTTCTAAGACATTCTACATCATTGGACACTCAAGAAAATTCAAATATAAACTCTGTTTATATGAAAACAATGTATGAATTCCATCAATATAATTCTTCTCTGCATTCCAAAATCATCAATAAATTTCACTTAACATTGTTTTACATGTCAATTAATTAAAACATTAATTAAATAATTATAAACAATGTTTCTCTTTGATTTTTTCTGAATAATTTTGAAATTAAAAATGCACATTTCAATATCAACAATTAAATATTTGATTACACTTTTTTTTTTACTTTTTTCAGTTAATAAAAAAATGGGTTCAAGTGAAGTTTGATTATTTGTCTAACACACCATGAACTAAAAATATGTGTTTCATTTTTTAGGTCTAAAGCTCAAGTAGTTGAAACTTCAATGTGTTTTAAGAACACTATATATTGGTGTACAAATTAAACTTCTAAGTTATAACTAGGAACGGAGTTTTCAAAAAAAAAAAAAATTAAGGATGGACCGGGCCCGGGTCGGGCCGGGCTCCTAGCCGGGATTTGGGCAGGATTGTGTTTGGGAATTGAAGGCCCGGTACCAGGCTGGGTTGGTTACGGGCCCGGGCTGGGTCTATGTTTTTTTTTTAAAGGAAAAATTGAAAATAATAATCCCAACTATTACCGGTCCGCTGAAAATAATCACAACTATTGATTATTTTTGTATAATCCCAACTATAAAGACTGTCCGCCAATAATGGTCCATGACTAGATATTACCTCTATAAAAAGTGAATTTTAAATAGAAATTAAGCGTAAAAATTAAAAGTTGCGTTTATTTAGGAAAAATTGACAAGAATAATCCCACCTTTCACTGGTCTTCTCATAATAATCCTACCTTTACATAATCCCAAAATAATCCCACCTTTGCACCACATCTTCTTTCATTGGACCCTGACCAAGTTTTTTACCTTTATTTGAAAATCTTATATAAATAATCTCACATTTATAAAGATATAATAGAAAAGTGAAAGGTGAAATTATTTATATGATTTTCAAAAAAAGAGTAAAAAACATGGTCATGGTCCAATGAAAGAAAATGGGGTGCAAAGGTGGGATTATTCTGGGATTATCTAAAGGTGGGATTATTATGAGAAGACCAGCGAAAGGTGGGATTATTTTTGTCAATTTTTCCGATTATTTATAGGGATTACTTATTATATCTCATCTCATTCACTTTAGAAACTACAAGAATTTATTCATAGGGATCATTATTGGCGGAATGTCCCTAAAGTTGGGATTATTCTGGAATAATCAATAGTTGGGATTATTATGAGCGGACCGCCAATAGTTGGAATTATTACTATCAATTTTTCCTTTTTTAAATTGATTTTTTCTTATTTATTCCCACCCCCAACACCCCCCCCCCCCCCCCCAAACCGCCCAACCCCACCTGCCTAGCACCCAATCCATAAGAAAAAATAAAAAAAAAAAAATGTTGGGCCCGAATCGGTCCCGGACCATCCGGGCTGATCCACCAAATAACAATCCTGTAGCCTGCCCCAAACCCCCCCCCCCCAGTTCAGGCCCGAGTCCCGATCCTGGTCCCAGTCGTTTCTTACTTTTGGTCCACCAAAATACCAAATAACTATCCCGTAGCTGCAGCCCCTTTTCCGTTTTTTCTTACTTTTGGTCAGTCAGACTGTCAGACCTCTCTATTTTTAGTTCTCCCCAACCTAAATTCCATTTTAACCCCTGTTTTTTCTGGGCCCATTGGCTAATAAAGGGCTGCAGCCCCTTTTCCGTTTTGAGCTTTGCTAAAGGTACCCAAAATGGGGTACCCCCATTTGTCCCCCACCCTAATGGGTGGCCATAAATGAGCTAACTCATTTAAGTGGTGCCCCACTTAAAAGAATTGCCCCATTTATGGCCACCCATTAGGGTGGGGGACAAATGGGGTACCCCATTTTGGGGTACCTTTAGAATTTCAACCATGCTATAGGTACCCCCATTTTGAGGTAGCCCATTCTTACACCACACATTGTGTGGTCTAAATAAGGTCACACTTAAATGTATTGCCCCAATTATGGCCACACAATAGGGGTGTAAAAATGGGGTACCCCAAAATGGGGTACCTTTAGCATTTTTGTTAGAATTTTCCTTCCGTTTTTTCTTACTTTTGGTCAGTCAGACCTCTCTATTTTTAGCTCTCCCCAACCTAAATTCCATTTTAACCCCTGTTTTTCCCCAATGCATCAAAGTAGGAGTCCAAGTTTCCACTTTCAACACTTAGGAGTTTGGACTCCTAAGATATCACCACTACAAAGCCCTTCACCACTACAAGTGGTCTAAGGAAGCAAAGATAGAAGTGGGACATTCACTATACAGTTAAAATATAACATCATTACTTTTCTGCAATTGCACAACCTTATTAAAGGTTCCCAATTTAATTTTCCATCATAAGTCAGTATACACTTGAAGAGCGAGCTTTTGCCGGGTTCAAGAATAACAACACCCCCCCCCCCCAAATCCCCCATTACTCTAAGCTTTTTTTTGTAAAACATGGGTGAAAACAAGAGTTATTGCTTCTTCCTGCCATCTTGGAATGTTTAGTTCCCTTCTGTACAGGACTAAAGATTGGATTTAAATATACAAAACCATATAAAAGACACATGACCCCACTGAAATCGGACGCTCACCCAGAAAATAAGAGAGAAATAAAAAACAATATCAAAAGAAACCATTCTTACGAAAATGTCCTTGACTGTCTTCCCAAAACATTATTTGTTTGTTCAGGTATGTAGGATGCAACAGCACCATGAGAAGGATCAGTGAGTTCTGAATATGGCACTGGATGAGTTGAGAGGTCACTGCTATCCAAGTGACTTGAAACCTGGAATCGTAGAGGACGCAGTGATCAGAGAAAAAAGCAAATTGGGTACACAAATTTGAAGGTCAAAAGATCAAGTACCTTTACAGGGTAAACTTCAGTGACCTCTTCACTATTTTCATCCAGGTACACAACATCCTGCATGGTGAGCTGGTGATACTCTACAATTTCCCTTAGGAAACGGTTCTCACGCGTAAGGACTGAGTTCTCTTGACCCAACCTTGCCTTCTCAGCCAAAAGTGTCTCCAGTTGGAGCCTTATCTGATATAATGTATACAAAGTACAAACATCTTGCTATAATCATTACTTTCATTACGGGGCAAAGGATATATGTTAAATTAAGTCTAGCTCACCCCATTAGAATCCTCAAGAAATAAGGTATACCTCATACTTTATTCACTTATACACTAGAGTAGACCCAAACCTATTAAACAGTCGACCCCCTCAGCACAAGCTGCCTGGACAATGGAAGGGGTGGACACATGGCCTAAAGAACCAACAAGAGCACAAATGGCAGTCTTGGATACCATATTAAATTGGGCTAAACTCATCACGAAAGGAGGATCACCAAGATATGGAATTTATCTCAAACTTAATCACTTCTATACTAGACTCAGACCTAGGAGCAAACTCATGAGTCATGAGGGATGCTCAGCCATAATCACTGTTCAGCACGACAAGACATGAAATTGACAAAAGACATAAGATTTGAAAGTAAGTCCACGTAAGTCACTTTTCTTTGATAGACCATGGAAAACAAAAGCGAATGTTACACAATTTTTAGGAAGCTAGAAGGCGTACCAAATCATCATCTTCTGGATTGCCACCTTTTTCATGGCTTTGTCTAAGAACTCTGTTTTCTTCTTCTAATTGTGCACAACGCTCTTTTGCAAAAGCCAGATCAGCTTTTACTGTCTTCAGCTCCCGTAATAGTAATTTTGCTTTTGCAGCCATAGCCATCGCAACCTGACATATAAAACAGAGAATATATCACACATACAAATGACTCACAATTGCAATTGCATGTAATTTATCTACATCAATGGAGAATATATTCATAAGAGCACCATGATATGCAATCGTGTATGAAGAAAGGCTGTTTGGAATTCAGAAAGAGATAAGGAATGAAAATGTGGATGAAGGTATAGAAGAAATTTGGAAGGAAGGAAATTCTGCAGAAGTAAAAATATTGGTTCAAACTCAAATTTATTTTGGATATTTGTTAAAACACATTTTATTAAGTAATTTATATACGAGTAACATTTTAAATATATCTACATTTTTACAGGGGTAAGGCTGCGAACATTCGACCCCCATACTCCACCGTAGGTGGGAGCCTTTGCGTCACTAGGGTAATGTTGTTGTTTTATTTAAAATGTCATAAAACATTAGTCATATTTCAGTATCCTCTACCTTCCATGAGGTCAAACCAAACTCAAGTAACTTTCCTTGGCATAATTTTTTCTTGTCTTAGGATTTTCCACGATCAAAACATACCCTAAGAAAACAGGCTCCACTTTCCACTAATGATTATACGCCCTATTCTTAAAGATTCATAACAGCAAGATTGGATTCAAAATAAGAGCAACTAATGACAAACTATTACACAACAAATTTAAGAAATTAAGTCTGCTCTGAATTTGTCATCTTTAAGCTTTTTTATAATTATTATCTAAACCAATAACACACACAGACACACAATTGCCACCTTACGTCGCGAGATGCTTTCAGCTGAGTGTCTAAATCAGTCTGTGGCTGCTTTTGCATATGGTTCCACATGACAGTTTTTTGCCGTGTTCCACTAACATCTGAAGCTTCGTTCTGTGCAGAAGTACTACCCTTTTTCCTTATTTGCAGCTTTCGTGTTTCCTGAAGAATATCTGCAGTTCTATTCTCCACAACTGCACGACCCTCCTGCAAATGATATTATATAATATTTATGCCCAAAGCTGTGAAGCAGCATCACACCAAAGATAAGAGAGAGAACAAATATATAAGGCATTACTACAAAGATATGTTATAGCACGACTACCTCCAAAGCATTTCCAATGGTGCCACCAATATAATTAATAGAAGATGCAATGGCATCTAATCCTTTCTGCACTTTATGACTTTCTGGTTTTCTTTGCCCTTCTAGTGGCTGTTGTGAATCATAAAGCTGCAAAGAGAACGATATAATTTTGGTTCCTTACACACACAAGACATCTAATTGTGTGTAAGCATTACAGAAATAAAGATTGATAATATCATAAATTCAGCCCCTGTTACCAACCAATTCTATTGTTTCACATATCAATGAAGAAGCCTGATGGGAGCAGATGCAATTAAAGGACGGAGTGTTTAAGAGAGAAGCAAGTTTCATATGACACATGCAGCCCAAGTTAGCAGTCAAAATATTATTAGCATTACTAGTATTATCCGTCTTCCTCCATTAGAGTTTATTAGAATAGCAATTCAGCTTACCCATTTACTTTATGAACCCTGTAATATCTATATAAGGAATTCTCTGTTAAACTAATACACAGCTTTTTAGACAATTCCTTCCTGGATGTCTTCTTGACTAGGTCAGAGATCAGATTAATCCCACTAAACCGCTTTATTTCCGTTCCTCACTTTATATTTAAAAAATATAGATTTGAAATTATCTCATTTTGTTTTCGATTAATATTTGATGAAATAAAGCAAAATGACTCACTAAACTATCTATGCTTCTTTGTTATGAAGCAGCAGTCCATCCATGCAATTTTCGATGTGATTTTCATAATGGGTCATCCGGAAACAGTCTCTCTATGCTTTAGCACAGAGGTAAGGTTGTGTACATCCGACTCACTCACCATAGGTGGAAGCCTATGCGGCACTGGGTAATGTTGTTGTTGTTTTCTATCATACCAGGCCTCCCGTTCTCAACCTTGGACACGGTCACTTACAGTTCCCTTAACATATCCCTAATTTCTTAATGTGAATAGCAAAGAACTGGAGCATGTGATCAATAGAAATATATCATGATCCAAGAATTTTAATAGTACAACAGGCAAAAATTCTTAACATGATAAATAGTTTTTTTTCCTTTCAAAACCTCTTTCTGACCTGATCCCTTGCTGTGGTATCAGACATCTGATGTATCGTTGTCCCACCTGCAGCTTGATGTTGCTGTTGATCCGCATTATCATCATCAAGAATGGATTTTGCTTTTCTGGCCAGTGCACTCCAAAATCCTTGTTTGGATTCATTCAAGTTTCTCATTGAAGTATATGCATAGTTGGATGAATTCTACATATATATGCACAAAATCAACCTGACTGAACTGGAAAAGTGCACTTTCTAAAAAACAAAACAATGAATTAAGGTGAAAAATTCATAGAAAAATCTATAGATCCATAACCAACTTCATATGCTAATTTAGCATCTTAGCTAAAGTCATTTATTTGGCTTCAATATGGACGTAAATCTATGTCACAAGTCTAGCAAACACGCAGTAAAATAAGACAGACAGCCTAAGATTCAAAAGCTTGCTTATTTTCACTTGTAGTAAGAACTCTATAGACTTATACACATGACATGCTAAGGAGTACACAGTATAAATGAGGATAAAATGTCACTCAGTAATATCACTTCAGGCAAGCTCCTCTCATTAATTATTGCCAAGTTCAAATCCGAGGCACTCATAACAGTGCATACAAATCACTCAAGAACCATTCCTCCGCTCTAGAGACAATACCTAAAAGTACCAAATACAGAACTAATAGAGGTACACATAATTCAGAAATGCAACAGTGGAATGAAGTTCCAGAAAGTAGACCTTTGTTGATGAAGAGGGGAAGGAAGATCTAATAGGATTAGATTCCCTAGGACTAGGAGATGACACGGCAGACTCTCCATAGGCCGATGACAGAGAAAAGTCCCGATGCGCCGATGATGCTCTGATGGCCTTAGCAGCGAGCGAAGACGAAGCAGACGATGAAGAGGAGTTTTCTCCGGGGAGTGAAATCGAAATCGGCGAAGGAGGGTTGCGCGGACTAACGACTTCTTCCCTGAAAGTGGAAGTTCCACGCACTTGCTGCCTTCGACGGTACGCCATACGATCAAACTCGCTGCGCCAAATGCCCCCGGCACAACTTCTGCAACCTCCGCAAGAAACTGATAATCGCTGGAGATGATCAATTGCAAAGATGTCTACCACGGCGAGTCTATGTGTCTCTGGCTAGCGGCCTTGCTTCCCGACTGTGTCGTTCCGAGTCTCCGGCTGAAACTTTGTACGGTTAGTCAACGCGTCTTCAACCAGCAAAGATGTCTAGAAGGCATGGGGCCGTCAAGCCTCAATACCGAAGGCCAAAGCCTATAACTTAAGCATTTCTGTTTTTTATCATAAACAAAAAAAATATACGGAGTACTATAGAAAAAAGAAATATTAATGCAATTTGAGCACATTTTTTAATTTTTCATAAATTTGCACTTACAAAGAATAATAATAATATAACACGATAACTTGAGTTTGAACCACATTTTATTGTTAAATTGAACTTTGCACTTCGTTTTTAAAAATCTTTGTTTTTGCACTCAACCTCATATGAAAAGACAAGATTGCACTCGATCAAGAATATGTTGAAGGTCAACATAATTGTTAATGGATGAGTGTTTTTGTCTTTTCATGTGGGGTGGGCTATATCGACATCTATCTGTAACAAGTAGAGAAGTGGGGTGAGGTAAGCAATAATTTAATTTTTACTATACATATAAGGTTTAGCTCAGGTCTATTATCGAATCAAGTATTTTTTATTAATATACTCGAGTTCGAGCTTGATTTCGAATCTAATTTAATGACTCGAGCTTAAAAAGCGTTGAACTCGAACACGGACTAGGTTTTGACTTTGAATAGTTATTCAATCGGATCGGAAGTCGAGTCTATCGTTCACTTCTATAGAGTAAATTAAGGGAATAAATTATATATCTTAAAATTTAAATATTTTTAGCGAAATTTTATAAATTTATTAATGATTATAAAAGATTGGAGTTTTTATTGAATAATTCGAACATGAATCTATTCTGAACTTCTACTTTCAAGCATGTTTATCAAGCACTAAAATCGAACACAAAAAATCTATCAAACTTAACTCGAGCTCAATTTCATACTAGCTAGTGAAATATTCATTTCATTGTCTTTCTTGACAATATGTTCATTATCCATTCTAAAACAAATCAATATTTATTTATATGAATTAAAAGTATTCCCAATTTTAATATTTAATTGAAAGTTGTAATTCTTTCTTACATGTTCACATAATAGAAAAATCATTTTCTAACCTTCAATATAATAAATAAATCATTCTATAATCATTATTTCTAAAATGTTACTAATAAAAATAGGAAAAATTGATAGTAATAATCCCAACTATTGGCGGTCCGCTCATAATAATCTCAACTATCGATTATTTCAGAATAATCCCAATTTTAGGGACCTTCTGCCAATAATGGTCCGACGTGACCTGCTATAAATAAATTACTATTATTTCTAAAGTGGATGAGAAGAGATATAGCAAGTAATCCCTATAAATTAAATAATCCTAACTTTTAATTTTTACGCTTAATTTCTATTTGAAATTCACTTGTTATCTGGTCATGGACCATTATTGGCGGACAGTCCAAATAGTTGAGATTATACAAAAATAATCCATAGTTGGGATTATTGTTAGCGGACCTGCAATAGTTGAGATTATTATTTTCAATTTTTCCTAAAAAATAATAGAAAAAATGTGACTCAGTAACTTTTTCTAAAATATTACTAGTGAAAAGTAATGGACAAAACTGTGATTTAGTAACTTTTAGTTAGAACCTTTTCAGCAGACTATTACGTAACACAGTGGGTGTTTCCCTAGAGTTTCTAGGGTTGGATTTTCCGGTGGGTGCTTGAAGCACTTTGCAACCGGCAGTTTTATTTAGAATTTTCCGGGAGGACCATGAGTATAGTAAGTTGGAATTGCAAAGGTTTGGGGAATATTGCCACGATTTAGGGGTTGTCCGACTTGGTAAAGGTACGTCAACCGAGCATTATATTTTTGATGGAAACTAAATTGAAAAAGGATAGGGTGGAAATCGAAATCAAAGGGCTGGGTTATCCGAATGTTTTTACCTGCGATAGTGAAGGGCAAAGTGGAGGTCTGGTGATGGCTTGGGAGGAAATAGAGGTTGAAGTCACTGATTGGAGCAAGAATTTCATTGACACTAAAGTCTCCAATATACCAAACGGAGAATATACATGGAGATTAACAAGATTCTAAGGCTATCCAGAGAGTAGCCGCAGAAGAAATGCTTGGGTGCTTCTTCGACGATTGGCAGACAATTCTAATTTAGCATGGATGGTGGTTGGAGACTTTAATAATATTATGGCGGCGGAAGAAAACAAAGGCAGAATACCGCATCCAAGTTGGAGATTAAGTGGGTTCAGGCATGCGATAATAGAAAGCGGGTTGCATAACTTTCCTTTTTATGGTTATCAGTGGACATGGGAGAGGGGAAGAGGGACTTCGTCATGGTGGAAGAAAAACTAGACATAATTTTAGTCAATGGTGAGGACTGGTGGAATTTGTTTGGGGCAGCACATGCGCACTCTCTGGAAGCACCGGCTAGTGACCATTTAGCATTATGGATTAAGGTTTATAGGGAGGAGGCAAGGCCGAGACATAGACCTTTCAAGTTCGAAAATGTTTGGTTACGGGAAGTAGATTGCAGAGATGTGGTCAGTAGTAGTTGGCAGGCGAGTAGAAATATGGAGATAAGGTACAGATTGTCCTTCTGTGGTAAGGAGTTGCAGCCTATGTTGCACCAATACTTCACCCTGATGTTGTATCCGCGTATCCGATACGTATCCAATACCGACACCCCGGTTCATATCCTTTGTAAATTGCTGTATCACCGTACCCATATTCGCGTATCGGCGTATCTGTGTTCGTGCAACATAGGTTGCATCGGTGGAGCAGAAGTAGGGGGAGTGGATTCCGAAATCAGATTGAAGGATGTAAGAGAAGACTAGATTGGTTACGGTCCAAGGAAGATCAACGCAGTTGTTTGGAATTTATACGAGTACGTAACCTTTATCTTACCCTTATCCAAATATTTTCATGGACGATATAAAATATCTTCGCCGTTAAACAAAGGAGACGAAAAAATAAGATGTTGGGGCTAAGGCTGGACGATGGGTCATGGACGGATGGAAGAGAAGTCATGAAGAATTGTATTAAGGAATATTTCACTTCCTTATTTACATCAAATAGAAAAGGTCTTGTGACAGGAGAGTTAGGTAGCCTAGGCAAGGTCACAGATGAGCAAAATCATTTTCTTTTAACTCCAATCCGCATAGATGAGGTCAAGGCAGCTTTATTTGATATGCACTCGGAGAAGGCACCGGGACCGAATGGTATGAATCCAGCATTATTTCAATCCTTTTGGGATATTGTTGGGTCAGATATTTTTAGTCTATGTTCTCGTATGTTTGACTCTGGACAGGTCCAACAAAATCTAAATATAACTAATGTGACACCGCGCCCGTATGTACTTGAAATTGAAAGACGATACGTATGTGATTTTTCTAGCGAATAAAATTCGTGTAATTGATTGGTATATTTAATTAATGCGTGATTAATTAAATTATATATTGGGACCACTATATGAGAATGGGCTACCAAATATTTAGTTGGGTTATCATAATAATCATAGGAGCCAATAAAATGCCAACCGAAGTTGATAAAAATATTTGGACAACCCGAGTGCTATTTTGGCCCGACCTACCGAAAATAGCACGAATAATCGGGAGGGACTTTCCACACCCACTTGGGGTAAACTTTTACACACTATTAGACCCAAATAATGGGAAGGGGACAAGTTAGCATGGTTTGGGGCGGAGTGTTGAGTGAGGTGATGTGCAAGACAAACACCCACTCCCTTTTGGCCTTGTCTACTATTGATTGGGGGTGGGATTGATTAAGGATACTTCCTCTATCCTTTCCACACCATACGCACAAGAGCAAGGGAGAGAGAGGCCTGTGATAGCTCTAGCAAAGTCCTAGCTTGGAAGAAGCAAGGGGAAAAGAATCCAACAAGAAATAGTTTGAGGTTGAGGTAAGAACTCATCAAACACTTCTAACTAGTTTATTTGATATGATTTTTAAGAAATCATATGGTGGATTAAACCATGAGTTTTACACGTTTAAAAGTGTGTAATATTGTTATAAAGTGGGGGTATTTAACTTAGAAGAGTCGTGGAATCGATAGGAGTTGAAACCGCCGGAAACCGCCAAGTGTAGGAGGCTGTTCGTAGTAGCAGACGACGAAAGCCGCCCAGCTTTCGTGAAAGCCGCCCGGCTTTCACCTTCTGCCCAGATTTTTCGCTTTCGATCGGTTCAGAACGGGGGTTGATCGGAGGGCTTAATAAAGGCAACTATTTCAGCACTTCATAAGGTGAGGATGGCTGACTATATTGCTTATAATCTTTGGGTTAATTTCATAAGATTACCTAAAGTAAGTAAATGTGATTTTCATGGATTATTAATGCTTAATAATGCCTAAATGGAAATATCATTGTTGTGAATAGAAGATGCATAACATACAAATTTATGAGAGATTGTGTATGATGATGCATAATAAATGTGGAGTTATAATGATTCTATAAACCATGAATTTTTGTGATAAAATATACTTTTACTTCATGTATAGAAATCATGAATGGATAAAAGTGATATTTTTGATATTGAGATTAAATCGTATACGGATTAGAAAGTCCATAGGAATGAGCCTTATAACTATGAGTTAAGGAGCTTGGCTGTTTAAAGATTTATGGATTAGTATTTAATTTACTAATCGGGAATGTTGTATAAAAAGTGATAGAATAAATCCTAAGGGCTTGGATTGTGAAAGATGCACCTTAAGTGGTCTATTGAGATGTCTTAAGGTAGAAATGGGTAACCACTAAGTTACATTAGGAGTAGGCCTCCTTGGCTACTCAAGATTGAGAAACTCTAGGCATAGAAATTGCTAGTGAGTTAGCATCGTGACTAGAGGAAGCCTCTAGCACGATGAAGAATGACTGGAGGAAGCCTCCAGCATTCGTGTAGGGCGACTAGAGTAAGCCTCTAGCGTAGAATAGGATGACTAGAGGAAGCCTCTAGCATAATCTAATGTGACTGGAGGAAGCCTCCAGCACAAAGTATGTAAGGTGATTAGAGGAAGCCTCTAACACCGAATGTAGTGACTAGAGTAAGCCTCTAGCACGGTGAAACATGACTAGAGGAAGCCTCTAGCATGGTAAATAAATACAGATGGGCGTGACTTGAAGTCACGGGGAAAGGGTTGAACGTTTTCAAAGAAAACATGGGTCTTCG